ACGTTCCGACTGCAGTCGAAACGTGGTAAGAATTTTTTTAAATATATTTCTATTATTTTATTATTTCCCTTCTACGTGACTTTACCAAAAGAACCAAGAATATGAGTGCCCACCTTGTTACAGACCAATTCAGTCCTTACTGGTCACCACGTGCCCTTATACATCTCAAGGTTCACTCTACAACGTCCCATCACAAGAAAGAAACACAAACAAATGGACAAAATATCTGTCTGTACATATTGAAACGGCTGTATGCCGTATGGATCTGAAAACTCAATTTCACGGGTAAACCGTATGGGTTGACAGGTATGTACTCATGTTATCGACCGCGACGGGATGATGGGCTTTAGGTATGTAGGTATGTGGAAATGATTTTTAGTCATCTGCCACTCAAGAGATCTTCCGGTCCCCCGTGTCCTCCGTGTCTCCCCACACAACGTCTCGCATCACTCCCTCGAAACACCCAGAGCCAGAGATGGACTTGCGAGGAAGGCTCCCATCCAGATGCTGTGCGTACACGGCCATTCATCATCTCTCGAGCAGCTGCTGCTGCCTCTGTGTCTTGCACCAGCAGCATCAGCAGAAGTCCCACGTCGTCTCCTCTCCATCAGCGAACATCGACGGAGCTCGCGGATACGCGCAGCTGCGAGACGTTCAATTGCATTGTAACAGGAACACCGCATAATCAACGTTTTTGGGTTTAGATCGCGTTATTTATAAATGTGTCGTAACCCTCCACCACCCGACACGGCCAATCAGTAAAAAAGTGTCACGTTGACAAAAGACAAATAGTTCACTGCTTTAGCCCACCGGTGTGTTGAAGCCACAACATTTACAATTTGAGTACGACGTTTCGCTGGTAATTGCATCCAGCATCATCGGGCAATTCGCCAGAATGGTGAGGCTCTGCTGTGTCTCCCGTTCTTATATAGAGCAGCAGCAGGGTGACGTCATCATGTCGGTTGCGGGAACACCGCAACCGACACCAATCCCTGTGTGGGCCGTCCCCGTTCTGGTGAACATTCTGCCATCGAACACACCGGGCAGAGACATCGAGCAAGCTGCCAAGTGGGGTCGACGCGTCTCCCTCGCCAACCACAACCATCTGCCCACCATCAAACGAATCCCTACCCCACCCGCCCCTAGGATCTGCTGCCGCTGCTGCTACCACCATCCCAGGCATCTCACCCCGTACCAATAATAAACACCTCGTTCGGAACTCAAACACATCGCTGTCAAGCCAGACGGTTTACCCCGTATTCTTGTGCAGGGAAATTGAGTTTTCAGGCCCATACGGCGTACATCCGTTTCAATACGGGCACTTTTTTGTTTGTTTGTCAATTTGTGTTTCTCCCTTGTGATGGGACGTTGTATGATGAACGGTGAGATGTATAATGGCACGGGGTGATCAATAAGGTCTGAATTGGTCTGTAATAAGGTCGGGCACTGATAAGGGGTTGACAGGCCTGCTGAAACATCATCGTACCTTGGGGACGTCCATAAATGACGTCACGCGATTTTGTACGATTTTTGACCCCCCCCCCCCCCTCGTCATACAGCGTCACAAAAAGTCAGAACCCCCCCCCCCCTCAAATATGACGTCACAAAGCTCTGCCCCCCCCCCCCCCAAAATAAAACATACTTCAAATCGCTTTAAACTATTGTCATTGTAGTGCGTATTTAATGTGGCGCTGCACTCCGTTGTAGGAGAAAACATTTATTAAAAAGTATATTTAATTAAGTAGAACGTGTTGTCTATATTTATTTATTTATAGTTTCGCATTTTTACGTGACGTCACATTTCTCAAACCCGCTCCCCTCGTCACACATCGTCACAAATGTCTGACCCCCCCCCCCCCCAGGTGCGTGACGTCATTTATGGACGGCTCTTCTATGGACCCCATTGAAGCCAATGGGATCCGGTTCCCCAGTCTCTTCTATGGACCCGTTGAAGTCAACGGGATCCGGTTCCCAGTCTCTTCTACGGTCCCCATTGAAGTCAACGGGATCCGGTTCCCAGTCTCTTCTATGGACCCATAGAAGTCAACGGGATCCGGTTCCCAGTCTCTTCTATGGGCCCCGTTGAAGTCAATAGGATCCGGATCCCAGTCTCTTCTATGGACCCATTGAAGTCAACGGGATCCGGTTCCCAGTCTCTTCTATGGACCCCATTGAAGCCAATGGGATCCGGTTCCCAGTCTCTTCTATGGACCCATAGAAGCCAATGGGATCCGGTTCCCAGTCTCTTCTATGGACCCCATTGAAGTCAATGGGATCCGGTTCCCAGTCTCTTCTATGGACCCATAGAAGCCAATGGGATCCGGTTCCCAGTCTCTTCTATGGACCCCATTGAAGCCAATGGGGATCCGGTTCCCAGTCTCTTCTATGGACCCCATTGAAGCCAATGGGGATCCGGTTCCCAGTCTCTTCTATGGATCCCATTGAAGCCAATGGGGATCCGGTTCCCAGTCTCTTCTATGGATCCCATTGAAGCCAATGGGGATCCGGTTCCCAGTCTCTTCTATGGACCCCATTGAAGCCAATGGGATCCGGTTCCTAGTCTCTTCTATGGATCCCATTGAAGCCAATGGGGATCCGGTTCCCAGTCTCTTCTATGGACCCATTGAAGCCAATGGGGATCCGGTTCCTAGTCTCTTCTATGGATCCCATTGAAGCCAATGGGGATCCGGTTCCCAGTCTCTTCTAAGGACCCATTGAAGCCAATGGGGATCCGGTTCCTAGTCTCTTCTATGGATCCCATTGAAGCCAATGGGGATCCGGTTCCCAGTCTCTTCTACGGACCCGTTGAAGTCAACGGGATCCGGTTCCCAGTCTCTTCTATGGTCCCCATTGAAGTCAACGGGATCCGGTTCCCCAGTCTCTTCTATGGACCCATAGAAGTCAATGGGATCCGGTTCCCCAGTCTTTCCAAGGACCCCATAGAAGTCAACGGGATCCGGTTCCCAGTCTCTTCTATGGACCCATAGAAGTCAACGGGGATCCGGTTCCCAGTTTCTTCTATGGACCCATAGAAGCCAATGGGGATCCGGTTCCCCAGTCTCTTCTATGGACCCCATTGAAGTCAATGGGATCCGGTTCCCAGTCTCTTCTATGGACCCATAGAAGTCAATGGGATCCGGTTCCCAGTCTCTTCTATGGACCCATAGAAGCCAATGGGGATCCGGTTCCCAGTCTCTTCTATGGACCCCATTGAAGCCAATGGGGATCCGGTTCCCAGTCTCTTCTATGAACCCATAGAAGCCAATGGGGATCCGGTTCCCAGTCTCTTCTATGGGCCCCATTGAAGCCAATGGGGATCCGGTTCCCAGTCTCTTCTATGGACCCCATTGAAGCTAATGGGGATCCGGTTCCCAGTCTCTTCTATGGGCCCATAGAAGCCAATGGGGATCCGGTTCCCAGTCTCTTCTATGGGCCCCATTGAAGCCAATGGGGATCCGGTTCCCAGTCTCTTCTATGGGCCCATAGAAGCCAATGGGGATCCGGTTCCCAGTCTCTTCTATGGACCCCATTGAAGCCAATGGGGATCCGGTTCCCAGTCTCTTCTATGAACCCATATAAGCTAATGGGGATCCGGTTCCCAGTCTCTTCTATGATTCCCCATTGAAGCCAATGGGATCCGGTTCCCAGTCTCTTCTATGGACCCCATTGAAGCCAATAGGATCCGGTTCCCAGTCTCTTCTATGATTCCCCATTGAAGCCAATGGGATCCGGTTCCCAGTCTCTTCTATGGACCCCATTGAAGCCAATAGGATCCGGTTCCCAGTCTCTTCTATGATTCCCCATTGAAGCCAATGGGATCCGGTTCCCAGTCTCTTCTATGGACCCCATTGAAGCCAATAGGATCCGGTTCCCAGTCTCTTCTATGATTCCCCATTGAAGCCAATGGGATCCGGTTCCCAGTCTCTTCTATGGACCCCATTGAAGCCAATAGGATCCGGTTCCCAGTCTCTTCTATGATTCCCCATTGAAGCCAATGGGATCCGGTTCCCAGTCTCTTCTATGGACCCCATTGAAGCCAATAGGATCCGGTTCCCAGTCTCTTCTATGATTCCCCATTGAAGCCAATGGGATCAGGTTCCCAGTCTCTTCTATGATTCCCCATTGAAGCCAATGGGATCCGGTTCCCAGTCTCTTCTATGGACCCCATTGAAGCCAATAGGATCCAGTTCCCAGTCTCTTCTATGATTCCCCATTGAAGCCAATGGGATCCGGTTCCCAGTCTCTTCTATGGACCCCATTGAAGCCAATAGGATCCGGTTCCCAGTCTCTTCTATGATTCCCCATTGAAGCCAATGGGATCCGGTTCCCAGTCTCTTCTATGGACCCATAGAAGTCAATGGGATCCGGTTCCCAGTCTCTTCTATGGACCCATAGAAGTCAATGGGATCCGGTTCCCAGTCTCTTCTACGGTCCCCATAGAAGTCAACGGGATCCGGTTCCCAGTCTCTTCTACGGTCCCCATAGAAGTCAACGGGATCCGGTTCCCAGTCTCTTCTACGGTCCCCATAGAAGTCAACGGGATCCGGTTCCCAGTCTCTTCTACGGTCCCCATTGAAGTCAACGGGATCCGGTTCCCAGTCTCTTCTACGGTCCCCATAGAAGTCAACGGGATCCGGTTCCCAGTCTCTTCTACGGTCCCCATAGAAGTCAACGGGATCGGTTCCCAGTCTCTTCTACGGTCCCCATTGAAGTCAACGGGATCCGGTTCCCAGTCTCTTCTACGGTACCCCATTGAAGTCAACGGGATCCGGTTCCCAGTCTCTTCTACGGTCCCCATAGAAGTCAACGGGATCCGGTTCCCAGTCTCTTCTACGGTCCCCATTGAAGTCAACGGGATCCGGTTCCCAGTCTCTTCTACGGTCCCCATAGAAGTCAACGGGATCCGGTTCCCAGTCTCTTCTACGGTCCCCATAGAAGTCAACGGGATCCGGTTCCCAGTCTCTTCTATGGACTCCATTGAAGTGAACGGGATCCGGTTCCCCCGCCACCTCTTGCCGCCTCCGGGCGCCGTTGTTTGCGCTTAAACCGCCGCGCCTCCCGCTGACGCCCTGAGCGTAAAGTAGTCTTCCTCGGCCTTCGTCGAGACCCTTTCTAGTTCCGCGATAAATTACAGGGCAACAATTGTACGCCTTTTAAGGGGCATAACGCAAAAGAGATTTAGAAATTAACGAGGCTTCCTTCGGCTCAGGCGACAGGCAGGCTTCGGATTTTACGTCTGAGGCGAGGCCGCTGCTATTTGTTGTTGTTTGAATTGTGGCCGTAATTGTCATGTTTGTGAAGTGACCACTTTGCAGCAGGGTAAGTAATGCTTGCTTGTGTTGAATTCGTGCTTATGCGGCAAATGCCTGTTTTGTTGGCTTCAGAGTAAAGGAAATGCGTGTTCAGTTGCGTATAATGCAAGAAGTAGTCTGATTTGAGTGGATACATAATAGCATGAAGACTAGCCTACATCGCTCGTGGATGTACAATACATGTCTATATGCAATGCTATAACCACTGCCCCACCGCTCCACCCGTCACACTGTAATATTACACAGAAGACAGCCATAATTGTAAATGACAGGTACAGTAACAATTATATTTTTATTGCTACTGCGTATGCGGTTTCGTGTAATGTCACGAGGAATGACCGGCTCTCCTAAGAGCAATGTGGAATGTCCACAATTGGTCCCAGAGTTGCAAAACCACGTTGACCTCTTAAGATGCCAACGTTACAATGTAAAGGTACATTAACAGTGCTGTGCGGCATAGTGTAATTGTGTTTGGAATGGACTCGGGTTCATTAGAATGTTGAAATTTCTGCTTAGACGTTCATATATGTTGTACATTCTGTATATAATGTATGCACGTTGGCTCATGTACGTTGAGTTATCACTAATACTGTATAACCCTTTACATTGTGTAATTGTGTGTGTAATGTGCTCTGATACTGTCACAATTTAGCTGATGTAGGCTGTGTATTTGATAACATTACTTTTTCTGTACATATTGAAAGTGTTTCTCACTTTGAAGGAAGTTGACAGATCTTCACGTTTATAATTCCATGGGACTGTAATTTCCATCACTCAGTGCAGTGTACCACCCCGACGCTCGTTTGAGCAGAAAAAAAACTAGGACTTTTACTTAAACTGTCAGACTAATGTTTCGTGCAAACAATTACTTTTTATGTTGTTGAGTTTCCACAGTCCATGAATGTCAAAAGTCAATCACTGTCAACAGCCAGATGTGCCAGCCATTCTCTTCTAGGCAGCACAATTTAAAGGTTATGATATATCTCCACTATTATAAGCAGCACAATTTATAGTTTATTATGTATCTCCACTATTATAGGCAGCACAATTTATAGGCTATGGTATATCTCCACTATTATAGGCAGCACAATTTAAAGGCTATGATGTATCTCCACTATTATAAGCATCACAATGTATAGTTTATTATGTATCTCCACTATTATAGGCAGCACAATTTATAGTTTATTATGTATCTCCACTATTATAGGCAGCACAATTTATAGTTTATTATGTATCTCCACTATTATAGGCAGCCCAATTTATAGTTTATTATGTATTTCCACTATTATAGGCAGCACAATTTAAAGGCTATGATATATCTCCACTATTATAGGCAGCACAATTTAAAGGTTATGATTTATCTCCACTATTATAAGCAGCACAATTTAAAAGCTATGATATATCTCCACTATTATAAGCAGCACAATTTAAAGGTTATTATGTATCTCCAGTGGCGTAACGAAATTTATCAGCTCAGGGGGTGCGGCAATCGGTAAGGTGGGACCCCAAATATTTGATTTGTCTCGCACGGTCGCACTTAGGTTGCTTTATATCGCGGCTTCTCTTGCCTAATCACGTTATTACACAAGTGTTTTATTCTTTCGCACTGGTGTTGAATCCATGTCTCGTGGTGATTGTCAGAGGGACCCCAACTCGTAGATTTGGCCACCGGGGGCTGGGGCGGGGGGCAAGGGACCCCATGCGAGTTTACGCTGCTGCATATCTCCAGTTCCATGATTTCGGATGTACATCTCGGACACTAACGATATGGTAACATTATATTATAATTATGAACCGGTTTTCCAGTTAGGATGAGTGTCAGCTATTTAAGGACTGTAATTCAAAAGTAATTAGTTCACTTTTTTGGGATGACCATGATGGTGCATTCAATTTCGTGATTGCGTGTCCAACCGTTGACTTCGTAAATATGGCATTTTTTCTGAAAATATAGATGCTTCCAATGTGTATTGTTTAAGACGAGATTGAAAATGTAACCGTGAGGCTCCCAAATGATTGGAACTGCCCCATATCTGTATATATATCAACAATGTCTTTACATAATGCAGCTTATTTTTTGCGAAAATATTGCTAGCTGTATATTTAAGGTATCATGCCGGGCTACTCAGGGGTCTAGAGTCTAAAAAAAGCTTTTTTTTTTTTTTACCAAATAATGCCCACTGAGCTATATAGCTCTTTTTCAGAAGCGACCTGGCCACAAATGATTGCTTAACGAAGTGGCTTAGCATTTGTAAATGTGTAGCAGCCAATTACTCTAAACGCACTTTTCTCAATGTGGAGAGAGAGAGACACGCAAACTCCATATATACAGGCGCCAGGGTCGGGATCGAACCCATGACCTTCTGTATACGAGGCGGGGTAGTTAACATCTCGCCACCACCGTGAAATTCGGTGGGGGACTCCGCAGGCCTAGATTGTGGCGGCGTCGTTGGGGCAAGGTTTGCGTGCCGTATTTGTTTATTCAGCTGTTGTTACAGCCGTTTGCGTTTTAAAACCCACACGCAGTTAAAATTCTGGGGAATGTGCCTCGGTGCTTTTCTTATTTATTTATTTTCTAGACTGAGCATACAGAGAGAGAGAGATGCTCGCTTGAAAAGCGTAATTGAATTTATGTGTGCGCACACGTAAAGAAAATAATTCACTGCTTTGACATCGTTAACCTGCAGGTTTTTTTGGTACTGATTTGACCTCGGCAGAAACAGTTATTCTAGCGTCTAGGCTAAATGTGGGGCCCAATTCGTTTGGGTGACTGTTGACACCTGCTAAATGTGTACGTAGCTCTGACAGGAGCCCAAATTTGGTTCTTGACAAAGCCACTTTAATCCTTACGTACATAAACACGTGTTGGATAAAAGAGACGGCCTGTGTCTTCTTAGGTCTGTTTTAAAATGTGCTGCTGCTCTTTTACAATATATTATGGTGTCTGCATTCGGTTTAGAAAATAATGTCTCGGGCAATCTTCAGTTAGCTTTTAAATTCTGTATTCGGACACTGAATGTAATATGAATATGTTTGAAATGCCTAAACGTATAGACTACTGTCATGTTCTTTGTTTAAAAGATTGACGTTTATACTGTGTTTTGTACGTTGCTGATTTTTTTAAACCAAGGTCTCACTTGAAAAATAGTTTTCACCTCAATAGGCACATACCTAGGTTATTAATAACTTACAATATGGCAAGCATTGTGAATAACTTCATATTGGTGAGATTAAAATTATATTTTTAGCAGTTTAATTTAAGTTATTGTAATTATTTTTCAGTTTAACTTTTTCTGTCTTTGTTACAGTTACCTTACAAATCTGTATATAGTTTTCCTTGATAGCATTGTTGTGGTAGGTTATGAGGTTCCACTAACATGTTGAATTATGCCATGCAATATTATGTTACGAACTAGTTTGGTACGACTTTGGCAGAGCATTCGACTCCCTATGGAAAGATACAAGGAAACATTCTGGTCGGTGTGTCGGCTCAGCCCATAAATTCATCTTACGACCATAAAACAAGAACCACGTTGCAGAGAGTCAGTAGTTTTCCTCTGTAAAAAAAAACAATCTTTCCCCTAACAGAGGAATTAGCCAGCGTTTATGAGATGAGCAACGGTCAATGCTCGTTTGAGCATAGAAGAATAAGCAAACTTAAAAAAAAAGCAAACTTAAATGGAATTTGTCAAGCCGGAAAATGTTACTGGAGCAAATGGAGCTCGGCGAGTCGTTGAGTTTGTTAGTTTAAGTCGCTTGTCTTTCACAGGTGCGTGCTACTGCAGCACAATGAGCATTCCGGTGAGCTTTCTAAACGTGCCAGAGTCCATCATGGAGTCGGCGTACTTTGCAACGGACAAGTCAAAAAGCAGGAAGTAATGCAATATTTTAATATGTTTTCAATCAGTATAGTTATATTACAGTATTTTAAATTATTTAGCTAATTGTTTGATTGTGCAAAGCGATATGAATCTGGCATCCTGAGTTTGATTCTTGGCCATGGCGAATATCAGTGGCGAGTGATATCCAAATTGGTCCTGCCAACCTCCCCCACCACCCCTTCCCCAACAATCATTGACCAGTGTGGTGAAATATTGTCATATAACCCATATGACTGACATGGCTTCTAGAGGCCTTCATCTAGTAGTTGATTTAGAAAACTGGACTGTAAATGAATAACACTCAAGTTCCTGTTCATATAGCTTTAGTCAAAACACTGTTGAGTTTCCAGACCTTATTGGCAAGAGCACTTTGTATACATGATCAAGTCCTAGTTAACACAAAGTAAAAAGTGTTTGCCATGGAGAGGCTCTTCCCACCTTCAATGTGGAATATTCACCGTTGGCTCGGGGCTGCTAACGATTTTTACTTTTAAGCGTTGCAACCAATTTATCACGGTGACTTGTCAACACTAACTAAGCTTTTTTAAAATACTACGCCTGGTGTGCTGCAGGGTAGGAGGCAATGCAAACAGCCTTATCGCTCATCGGTCCCGGCTTCTGCGTTCTGTTGTTTTAGGAACGGCAACGGAGCTTTGATGCCGTTGAGTTTTCCCCAGAGCAACGTTGCGCTCTGGGACCCCACGCCGCAAGGGAAGCCAGTTTGTCTGCACATGGCGCAGTTCAGGTACGAACCCAGCTGTCACAAATGTGGGTGATGTTTCTGATTGTTTAAATACTTTTGATTTTACCAGGTAAGGCCAACTGAGCTACATAGCTCTTTTTCAGAAGCGACCTGGCCACAAATGAAAGCTCAATGAAATGCTTCACAAGTTGAATTTTATAGCAGACCATACTTTACACTGGTCAGTGCAGGTTTGGTGAATGTCAGTTAACCCATGGCACCTGGGTCTGTCACGTGACCTACTGCCAGTGGGCGTTCGACACTTCACGTGGCTTTAAAGTACACATAGCCTGGCACAAGCGCCGTAGTGACGTCTCCGCCACTTGGGGGTGTTTAGCGGTTGTTGTTGCTGTTCGTGAATGTGGGGAGCATAGATGTGGAAGATCAGAAGTACAGCACTGCCCTCTGCTGCCCACAACGTACACTGGGTCATTCCATTGAGATACAAGCACCCATCATGGGAATATGGAATTTCCACTGCTTGGCTCAGGATTGCCCAAGAAGATGAGCAGCATGCCTTTGATTTTCCTTCAAATGTTACATTATCCTTTGGCTTTTACCTGGTTATTAGTCAAAGTCATATCCATTTTTCATTCGAGCAGGGAGACAAGAGTTACGGTGTAATTCTTGCTCATGCATTCCTAGATTAGTTGGCAAGGAAATTACCTCAGTTGATGTGGGGTGGATCCGTTTGATGCCGCCATTCAATCTTCAAAGTTCACATGGGTTTATATAAAACTATAAAAAATATATTTACCAGGTCAGGCCCACTGAGCTATGTAGCTCTTTTTCAGAAGTGACCTGCCTACAATGATTACTCAACGAAGTGGCTTATGTTGAAATTTACAGCCGCCAAATACTCTAAAAGCATGTTTCTAAATGCGGAATGAAAAACTGGAGGGCTCGGAGAAAAATCCAGGTGACCAGTGGGAAGAATATGCAAACTCAAAATATACAGGTGTCAGGGTCGGGATCAAACCCACGACCTATATACCAGGCGAGGTAGTTAACATCTATGCGGTCGATCGTCCGAGTGGCGTTTGCACAATCACATGTTGGGCTGTCTTAAAAATGAACAGATAGCCAGCATTACCAATAGCAATTTGGTATTTTGATCCATCCGAGTCAGTACCCAGCACAGATAACATCCTATCACTCTATCCCACAGGAATCCTCGGCTGCTGATTCTTGAGAAGACGCTGCGGCTGGCTCATCGCCACGCCAACCAGTTCGGAGGCAAGCCTCAGTCTGCGTTCCTCATTGGCTCCCTCACCATCGATAACGGTAAGCATGGTAACTGCATCCATGTGGGAGTGGTGAGTAAGGTTAAGTTGGCAAACTGAGGCATGGCAAAGGTAGATTTTCTATCATTTGAAATCAGGGTTTGGTGATTATAAGAACGTTTTGCCACTGCATGGATTACATTTATGGTTCAAGGTTCTGTACAGGAGTGGGGACACCAATTCTGAAAAAGATTAATAAAAATACAGCAATGGATTTGTTGTTGCACTGCCATCAACTGTCCTTAACATAGCCAGAGATAAGATAGTTTTAATATTATGAGACAGTATTAATGAGACAGCTCTTGCTTGATGCAGCGATCGTGCTGTGACGGTTCCACCTGAAGACGGAAGCTTGTGTTGCCTCCGAAACGTCGTGATTTTTATTTTACTTTTATTAATTAAAATTTTTACCTACGTGACTTTACTGAAACAGCCTAAGAATTAAAAGTATTATTAGACAATGTTAATGTTAACAGATATCGTAATGAGACATTGTTTATATTTGAAGATGTCAGCGTAAGACAGTGCTGTACCGTCTGTTAATTTTATAAATCATAATTAGCAGCGTTAAAGACAAAAGTTGCAATTTATTTTTGTTAACTTGTGTCCACACACCACAGCTTCCCATCCGTACCACTCGTTTCATGCACAAACACTCAAATAATTTCTCTCCTCCTCGGGCAGACGAAGAGGGCATCACGGTGACGGTGGATAGGTTCGATCCAGGGCGAGAGACTCCAGGTGGACCTAGGTACGGTGATGCCCACTGCTCTTCTGCCAGGAGACTTCCTCATCTCGATGTGTGTGGGACCCACCCGGGCAGGCTCCGATAAAACCGCCATGCACAGCCGTGATGACTTCCTGGCCGCGTTCAAGGTGAGTGAAAACAGTAAAAGTGACGCGTGCCTGGTGGCTCGGTGAGGGCTTTGAATTAATTTGGCCGTGTCAAGAGGCGTTGCATTGGTCATGTTGGGACGTACACGTAAATGGGGAGGGAACAGCAATGGGGAGATAGGTATATGTAGATTTAGACACAATAGCAACAACAACAGCCATTCGCCACTAAGTGACGGTGATGTCACCGCGGCGCTTGTGCCAGGCTATGTGCACTTTTGAGGCCACGTGAAGTGTCGAATGCTAGCTGGCAGGAGCTCACGGACAAATGCAAATTTTTACAAACATACATAATTATGATCCTCGTGTAGTCCTTTTGTCAATGTACTGCTGGAAAAGGATCTCCCCATGCCATGTGGGCTGCTAGAGATATTGGACCATACTTTGTTATTCTCGTCAGTGCGGGTTAGGTGAAGGCAGGGAGCATGGATGTGGGAGCACAGAAGTACAGCACAACACAGGATTTTGATGCTCTGCTGCCTGCCGCCCATCACATAGTGCCGCAGTACTACGACAACCTGTCTCTGCATGGTTGTCGCCCTGCCAAGTGTGATCCAGGCTTAAGCCTGCTTGGCTTCTGACTCTTATGAGATTGGGTGCATTCCAGGTGATTTAGTCTTGTTTTATTTAATTTAAATTTATGAATGATGCCCTGACTGGTGAGCATTTTAAATTTCGTTGTACTGGTGACAATGACAATAAACGATCTATCTATCTATCTAGGTGCTGATGAGAGACTTGAGTTAAATTCTGTGTTTCAGCCCCCCCCCCTCCCCCCGTCATCAAACTAAGTCTTATGTAGACACTAGTCCCTTCCATGGGAATGTGGAGTTTTAACCAGAAGTTCAGACCCACCGAAGTAGATGTAAGCAACATCGAGAAATTGTGTGAGCAGTGATATACTCTGACATGAACTTACACTCGAGTATCATCATAATCACCATCGATAACATGTTTAAAACTAGGTGATAGTCTGTGGATCAGAAATATGCACATTGACAAAGAAATGGAACGATCTAAAACCAATGCATGGAATACATGGAGATCCGAATGCCTGGAATTATGCTGGGATATGGGAAAAGGCATACGTGGATTAAGGAATATAAGTTCTAGACATCACATTGGATTAACACGTAGGCTTTCGCGACCAATATTATTCATAATATAGATCGCATTATTTAAATGATGACGTCACCCTGCTGCTGCTCAATTTTAGACCGGGAGCAACAGGAGAGCTTCACCATTCTTGCCCGATGAAGCTGATTGTAATTACCAGCGAAACGTCTTACGACTCAAATTTTAAAATGCTGTTGATTCTCTCTTCAACACACCGGTGGGCTAAAGAAGTGAATTATTTTGTCCTTTGAAAAACGTGACACATCTTTTACTGTTTGGCCGTGTCAGGTGGTGGAGGGTTACGACACATTCATAAATAACGCGATCTGACCCAAAAACCTCTATTATGAATCACATTGGATGTTAAGAGTATGTAGGCTGGTCAGGTGACACTGCTCGAATGAATGATGCCTGGTGGTCAAGACAAATGATATAATTGCAGCCATAGGAGTTAATAAGTCTCAGAGGATGTACACTACAAAGAAAGAAAGATTAAATTAAGTCGCGTGCGGGAACTAGATGGATTGATGCATTACGAGTACCGTGAGAGGCAAAACATTTGAATAGAGATTTGCATTTGTTTGGAGATTAAATCCCACGTCATCTCAAAGCACCTTATAAAACACAACCCGAGGAGAATACAAACTCACTGGGACAAAATATATAAATCGAGAAACAATGAGACACAAAAGAACAGCAGGTAAAGCACATCACAGACGGGGATCAACAGCGACTCCCGCGCGTGTGCACGCACACACACTTAGGCGTGACGGTCATCATTGCATTTCCACGGTCACACTTAAGCGTGAATCGGATGGAGTGGCTTTCGATTGACGACGCGCGCGAGCAGACGGCGTGATGAATTGCTCGTCAGCCTTCGTTTTGAAAACACGTTGTACACGTGAGCTCCCCGCCCCACACCCTCGCCATTCCTCCTGCGCGAATCCGTTCCCAGTAACATCGGCACCAGCTGTGCCGTGGCGTTTGAGAGCGTATCGGCTTGCACCAAGTCGTTAAGCCGATTGTTAACGTTTTTCAGCTAAGCGGTGTCACCTGTGACTGGCCCTTTGTGCGCGGACCGTTTTGTTTTTACACCCCATTAAGCATCCGGCGCAGGTCGCCGTTCTCTCAAAGGCTTGAGGTTAAGTTGAATTTGTGATCGGCAGGGTCAGAAATTTTACAAGGGTTCAGAGGAATTGTCCCACTAATGTGACATTTAAGGCACCTTTTTGGTGAACGCCAGGGGTTTGCGTGTGCGTTGCGTCTTCAAATGTGGGGAGGAAATTGTTTGACGTCGGTAAAATGTAAGGATTAATCCTTTTTGGTTCGTGAAACAGCTTTCGGAAACTCAATAACCCCTTGTGTTCTCAGCATAAATATGCATTTTTTAACACGTTTTTGACAAAGCTGCACGCCAATCTGCTGTGCGTGTGGTTTTTTTTCCCCGTGTATTCGAGCGGCATATGGTTGCTGTGGGAAGGTTAGATTGTACAGCACTCCCACGCCACCTTCCCCCACTATACACGCCCACACACACACACACAACCCTCTAATACTGTACATGCCTAATCACCTCCCTCTTAACAAAGGAAGCATTAAGGGAGGCATTATTTCGTTGTACATTTTGGCGGGACCGTTTGGACGCACGTATAAATATTGTGAACTAATTTTTCAAACATTCTCGTGATATTATGTGCCTTTTTAGTAATGATGCATTTCATATGCCATTTGTGTGTTATGTGAGCTTTATTTGACCATACTTCATACTTCAGCAGTATGCTGGTGAGAGGGAGGTTTGGTAAAGTTTGGGTTTCTAAATGTGGGAGCATAGAAGTACAGTGTAACAATGACCTTTGCTGGACTGCCCTCTGCTGTCAATCACTCGACAAGTATATACATGTATGCAGGGTCATGCCAGTACAAAAATATGATAATAGGGTTTTCCCTTTTTTTCTGGCAACAAAACAGGTGTTAAGATCTTCTTGGTTCTTTCGGTAAAGTCACGTAGAAGCGAAGTGACTTTACCGAAAGAACCAAGAAGATGAATCCCTGTAGTCACGAAAGCTTTAAATCAAAAGGTGTTAAGATGTTAAAACACCAAACTGAAACCTTTTTACAAGGAATCATGTCTGCATTAACCACAATGCTTGTGATCAGAATGCAAACAAAAAACATACTCTGATAATATATGCATTGTCCTTGAAACTGATTGGTCCACACCAGAGACAGCTTTCTTTTGAGCCTCGTCTCAAAGTGTCAGACCAGAGGATGCCTTTTGGTATATGCGAAAGACTGTACTTTATACTATTTGCAACTTTCATGCTGCTGCTCATAACGATAATGGTAGTTACCACGACTATTGCCATCCTGCCCACCCCTTCTTCTCACCTCTCCTCAACTCACCTCTTCCCTCCTTTTCCTATGTGCCTCCCCCGTCACCACCACCCACAAAACCAACCCCCACCAGTCTCTGCATCAGCTGGCATCGTCTCGCGAGGCCTCCGACCCCGGGCGGCTGCTGCTGGCGCGTGCCGTCCTGGAAGGCGCTCCCTCGGGCCCCGGGGCCCTCGCCTTGTCTCTGAGCCTGGCCGCCGTGGTCGTGGCCCGCACCGTCTCGGCCACGCCCGTGCGGCCGCTGCCCATCATTCCCACGGCCCTGGCACGCAACCTCGCAGGCCCGGCGAGCATCGCGAGGGTGCAGGCAGCGTGCAAGTCTGGGTGAGTCCTCATCTCCGATTCGCATTGTTGGCTACCTACGGTGCGAAAGAAGTTCAACATACGTACCTTTCTTCTCCCCGTATATACTTATGGGTTCATGTTTGTATGGGACGATGTACGAGCATGTGTTCCTGCGGGCCTTCGATACTTGACTTGGCCTTAAAGTGCACCTAGCCTGGCACAATTATTGTGGTGATATCACCGGTGCTTTGTGGCTAATGGCAGGTGTTGTGTCTGGGTGTGCAATTTCATGAGTTCATGTGTGTGGGTGGGTGTTGGTGGATGTGTGGGTTGGAAAGTGAGTGGGTTTATGGGTTTGCGTGTGTATTGGTAGGTGTGCGAGTGATTTCGTTCACGTGCTAGTGTGTGGTTATTAGTAGCTGCGTGGCCAGGTATGTGGTTATGGGTATTGTATGTGTGGGTTCGGTGTGTGATTTTATTTGTTTATATCTGGAGGGATGTATAGGTGAGTATGGGAGTTCAGTACTTAAATGGTGTATAAACATCAGTACTGGAGTGACAGAGGCTTGTGGTGCTTGCCACCCACCCACTCATATGCCGTCCCAGCCTTTATAGATGCTCGCTAACAGCACTCGCCCCAACAGTCGGTTAAAGCTATGGAGGGGAATTTATCTTTGTTGGAGTTATGGTAAGGTGCTTGCTAACAGCACTCGCCCCAACAGCTTATACAGCTGTATGTGTGATCTATACCATTATGTGTAAGTGTGGGTGTACAGCTGTGTCTAGGTGCATGGCTTTTGTTTGAGTGTTTGTGTGGGTCGACCCACCCGCACTCATGAGGATGGCAACATATGCCTGATATGGGGTGGGGAAACATTTATCCAGCAGTGGATTGAAAACGGCACTCCACACATACAAATCCTCCTGAGCCTTGGGCTTTTTGAGCATTTTATTTGCCCATTGGTTTGTTGAAAACATTGGAAAAATTTACAAAACAAAAAGGCACCCGAAGTGGCACTTAATGGGGGTGGCTGTATCTGACATGTACAGCTGCGGAGAAGGTGAGGCTTCTTGAACTCTCACCATCGTGTGCGGTGACGCAGGTTCCTGACAATGGACCAGACACGGAAGCTGCTGCTCGTCTTGGAGTCGGACCCCAAGGCTCAGAGTCTCCCACTGGTCGGCATGTGAGTGACGCGAGGGGCGACCTCTCTCTCGTGAACGTTATCGTCGTTGTGTAATACTTTCAGCTGCGCTTCGTATATCGGTACATAGCGAACAAATGCTGGCGCTTGAACCTCTGGAGCAGTTGTCGGAAACCAGAGGCTCTGGAGCCGCATGCGACTCTTTGGCTTTCCCCATGCGGCTCTTTGGCTGCGCGTTTGTGGGCAGCCGTAAAAAAAAAAACTTTAATCTTAAACACAATTTAATGTTAAGGTAATTAATTAAACGTGGTAGGGAATAGGACACTGGAATGTCTTGGTGACAACAAATTGTGCAGTCAAGCTGTATTGTTAAAGAATAAAAAAACTAAATAAATGCAGTTTAGTCAATCACCTATTTTGTTTATTGAAGTCGGATTGTGTTTGTCATCTGCTGTTTACCTGCTGTCTTTGTGTACAAGTAGCTCTGCATGTGGTGAGGCTCTCAAACTAGATCGGTCAAAGACAGAAACAAGAAATACGGCATAATTTTCTTTTAAAAGTTTGCCGACCCCTGCTCTGTGGAGTGTGAACCGCTGGCTTGTGAACCACTGACTTGTGAACATCTGGAGTGTGATCTGTTTTGTGTGCTACACAGCTGGGTGAGCGGGGTGATGCACGTGGCAAATCCGCACGTGTGGGCATGCTGCCTGCGATTCTTCTTCGGCACTTTCATCCGCCAGAGGTGCGTTGTTACAGCTCGCTGGAGAACAAAATATATTGTAACAACGTACTTTCACGAGCATTGTGTTTATTAATTCCATTTTCGGGTGGCTCAGAGGTCAGAGCACTGAGCTGGCTTCTCGGAGCATCGTGTGTTCTAATCCAGGCAGTCACCAGTTATTAAACTTGGCTCTAGAGTGTGGTGCTTTATTGGTCAATCACCAATAACAGGACAAAACAACCATTAAAACATTATGCTCTGCACTTAATTTGGCTTAATTCTGTGAATTTAAAATGTTGGTTTGATGGAGTGGGTTGGAAACATTCTCTCCCCTATTATGTGGACGAGAAGTTACGAGAATGGATCCATGGGTCATTCTCTTCATGAAGGGTCGCACTGCTCTGTAAGAGACCCAAATGGATCCTTTGTTTTGTGACAAAGGATTCTTGTGACGTGATGCCAAAATCACAGTCCAGATGAAAATGTGGAAAAAGATTAACACGAAACACTCGCTTTGAGGTTGTTACACTCATCGTGTGGTGTGTGACACTTGCCGGTTATGACATTCTCCCTGTGGTAACACGTGTGGTTGTTATTCTTACCTGTTATTGTGTCAAATGTAGCTGTGACACTCGCTGTCCCCCGCCGCCCTTGTGGGTTACTACGCACACCCTGTGGCGCTAACACATGCATAGCTCTAGACACCAAACCCCTTGGTTTGTTGGGACTCGTGTCTGAAACACTGCGGGACTCTGCCCCCCCCCACCGCAGGCTGCTTGCGGAGGGAAGCAGATGCTTGCTGCTCGTGTACACGCTCACGCATAGCGAGCCCGAGTTTTACGAGTGCAGCCTCACCTCCGGCCAAGGCCTGGACTTCAACTTATACTCCTGCTCAGAGACACTACACGTCTTCAAGGTGTGTGTGCACGCGCAGCCGTACTCTTGCGTTGTCGAAGAAAAGTGCTGTTGGTGAGCACCTGTTAAGGTCGCCACGGTCAGATGCAGCCGGGTCTACCCCATGTGGGACCTCTGCTATCTTCCCAGTATCGGTGTTGACCACACTGCTGCAACATTTTCTCATTTCAGGCTGTGTTTATTTTAGAGATTCCAAGCCAAATTCACATGCTACTGTACCTCCGATTAGCACGGTTGGCTAGGTATCGTCGGAAATAAGTTCAACATACATACAATATTAATACAACTCGCGTCACTTGAATTGTACTGTATAGCAGTGTTGTTAATCACTGCCACGCACTATTGTACATATCCACATTCACACATTTGTGCATATATCTATTACATTGTACCTATTTCGTTATCCCCTCGTGAGTATTCACACAAGACCTCCGCGGAGATTGAGCGATGATGTCAGCTGATGCTGGAGCTGGATAGAATTTTGCATTAAGAGACCATGTGGGATGGTGACCACTTGGGAAGACCTTCATCCAGCAGTGGGTAGAGCATGGCTAATGATGATAGTACATACATAGTCACAAATGTACTCACCATACCAAGTCAGAGGCAACTTTACTTCCACACTCTCCACAGTAAAAAACAACGACAAGACCTTTTTGCATAATTGGAGCTGGACAGATTTCATACATTTTTACCATTCTCTGTAAAAATGGGTAAGACTAGCAGCAACAGCACATTAACATTGACACGCAGTGATAATACGAACCCTGGCACACACACAGTCGTCCATTGAGCCGCATTAATAGCAAACAGCATTTGCGATGTCTCTGGCAGCTGTTAACAATTGAGTCGGGTATTTTTTGGTGTCTGGCATACATCTGACAGTTACCCAATTGGCTCTGAGCCTCCTCTGTCAAGTTAACTCATAAAGGGGGGCATTGCTATTGGAATTGGATACAGTGGTTGCTCTTGCTGGGAAACCTATTTTGCTTAAGCTACAAGATCATCTGCCTGTGCTACCACGCTTCTACTTATGGTCATCCACCACACCTCTCTTCACTGCTGTCACCATAAACTCTAGCTCAAGGTAGAACTCTCCGCAGAGTGGCTCACAACTTCCTATCCATACCAGCGACAAGGACCGTCACTGCCAGGCGTGGTTTTTCTCTGTGGCGACCCCGACTGTCTGAAATGCCATCCCGCTGCAATTCGCAGCTTTCAATCTACACAGACTTTTAGGAAACGCCTAGAGGCCCCACCTCTTTAAACATTATAACAGATTGTGCACGATTATAAATTGCATTGTTATTTTTCAAATTCTGTCCAGTTGAGATGGCATGTACATTTACAGCCCTCCCCACGTCGTGTGGGTCATGGCAGTTACTTTACCTCGCTTCACCATGCTGGTTGGTGAAGGCAGGAAGCATAGACGTGGGAGCATCTAAGTACAGTACAAAGGTATATCTTTCCCCAGGGCGCCCTGTGTTTGATTTCCGGTCGCGGCTAACATCAGTGGCAAGTGATATCTGAAAACATCTTTGGGCATTCGTCTTCGCTGACCCGTGTAGTAAAGTATGGTCAAACAGCCTAAATGGCCGAAACACAGATGCCTTCATCCAAAAGTGGATTAGCGAAGGGCTGTAATTGATACGATAAAATATAACGGACATTTATGGATTTTGGACTGAAAACATCACCAGTGTCATCACTGACTGCTCACTGACACAGACACATTTATAGCAGGCTAAAGTTTCATGCATTAGCTCCTCTACAGTGCGTGATAGCAAACAGTTGTGTAATTTCATCTCATTGGGTTAATTGTAATGAAAAACTGCTTATTCTGCACCAAAACAAGTTACTTTTTGTGCTCGAGCAAATTATTGTAATAATCAAAACGCAAATACGTCGATATGTGGGTCTTTGGGCATGCATGCACAGCTACTTACACAACACTAACTACCATCACATAAGCCATCGTAATCAACGCTGATCATTGCCCTGCAATACAGCAATTCATCGAGCACCTGCACATGAGCCGACCTCATCTCTCCGTCTGCCAGGTTGACATGCCCTATGACATGTTCCCTCATTTGGGTGCCACGGTGGCGAGATGTTAACTACCTCGCCTTGTATACAGGAGATTGTGGGGTCAATCCCGACCCTGACGCCTGGATATTTGGAGTTTGCTTGTTTTCCCTGTGGTCATGTGGATTTTTTCTCTGGGTCCTTTGGTTTTTCCCTCCACATTTAGAAACATGCTTTTGGAGTATTTGACTGCTATAAATTTCCACATGATAAGCCACTTAAATGGACTATCATTTGTGGCCAGGTCGCTTCTGAAAAATAGTTATATAGTTCCATGTGTCTTACCTGGTAAAATACAAAGTTTAGTTAGTTTAGGCTGCAATATAATCCAATTGTGCTACTCCAAATCTTCCAGTCTTTTCTCACCATTCCATTTTCTGTCTACTTTTCTTCCTCCCCTCCATCTGCCTCTATTCTGCCGTTATATTTGCTTGTTTGTGGTCGTTAGATGACCTGCCCAACTCCATTTTAGTTTTTATTATGTAAATCACATCCGTCACACCTTCGTTTAAATTTCCAAAGTAAGTGATATTTGTTTTTGTTCGGAGTCGCGTCTGTAATTTTGGGAGGATTGACCTATTTTGACCTTCTTGTTGTTGTCCCCCTCGCAGGATGTGGAGGCTGCCGAGAGACCTCCCGTGCAGCTGGAGTTGGCCCCGGACAGGAGATGTGGGGAGTGGGGGTGTTTTAAAGGAGCCTTGGGCAGCGCACCTGGCCTGGGGTGAGTGTGCAGAAGCAAAGCGGCCGCTTGCGTGTAACACGTGTTCACCTCTTTGGCTAATTCGCTGCTGGATGAGGTCCCTCTCTCCACACTGCGTGGATTTTTCTCCGGATTCTCCGATTATTCCCACCGTATTTGTAATCAACATGCATTTAAAGTATTTGGCTTCTTTAAATTGCCGTCGTGATAAGCCACTTCGTTGAGCTATCATTTGTGGCCAGGTCGGTTCTGAAAAAGAGCTACATAGCTCAGTAGGCTTTACCTGGTAACATTTAAAAGTTTAGTTAGAGTCGTGGGGTTATTTGACCACACTCCGCCATGCTTGTCAGTGCCGGTTGATGAAGACAGGGAGCATAGATATTGTATCGTATGAAATTACAACAATGGATTATGCAAGTGGCTTTTGCAGTAATGCTGTCTGCTGGTGAACGAAGCCCAACATTGGTGGTGAATGATATCCGAACCTGTCCATGACCTGTTCTCCGTGAGGTAGACTCAACATTTAATGAGTACATGCTGCGGTGTGTAAAACCTTAGCACGGGGAAGTTAAAGGAGCCCAGCCGTGGTGGTAGCGCGCTGTGCTGGCCTTACTAGGCGGTGGCCACTATGTGGATCGCAATATACAGGAGGATCGCAAAATATTTTGTTGCAGATCTAGGTTAACTCGGTCTTAAAAAGTTTGCACCTCCTTGTTGTTTGTCGATGACTTGCAAGGGTCGGCGAGGGGCCAGCATCACCGGGGCAGCGCTCTCTGCCCAGCGACAACGACTCCGGGCTGGAGGAGGAGGACTTCTCTCCGCGTCCCACGCCCAGCCCTCACCCCAACACCCAGCTGGTGCGAGAGCTCGCCCCCGTGCCACGTCGCCAGATTGATGGGGGGAAGGGTGTCCTGTAGAAATAAAAAAATGATACGTATATTTAAAGATAATCCATGCAAGCTCCATTGGAACACTTTATTATATCAACTCCCCTCGAATGTTGCTGTGGTGTTGGATGGTTATGACACTGGACGTGCAATATGGGCGCTACGGTGGTGAGATGTTAACTTCCTCACCTGGTATACAGGAGGTCGTGGGTTCGATCTCGACCTTTGGCGCCTGCTGCCGTATATTTGAAGTTTGCATGTTCTCCACGTGGCCGTGTGGATTTTTCTCCAGGTCCTCCAGTTCTTCCCTCCACATTTAGAAACGTGCATGACGAGATATTTGGCTGCGATAAATGTCCACACTGATAAGAGATGGTGGCATTCCACCAGTTTGATGTATTTTGGCCATTAGGGCAAGATGTAATAATAGCTGAACATGTATTGTGATTTGTACAGGGCTGCACAATGTTAGAATAATGAATGTCTTGTTGAGGAATACGCTGCTTAGGTTCTATTTAATCTGTTTGTGATTTGTGTTTGTGCTGATGTCATCATTAATGTTATTTTGCTCATGACTTCACTAACGTCATCACTAATTTCATTGTGTTGATGTGATCACCCTTGTAATTTCGCCGACGTATTCATTGTTTTTTCATCGCCGATTTCCGTAGTCGCCGAAGGTGCATCCGTGCGTGCCGGAGCTGTCGCTCGTGTGCGACGGGACCTTTCTGCCAGCCCTCAAGGGGCCCCCACCACGACCACCGCCGTCGTCCGGCAACGACGAGAACCGCGCACCGGCAGATCGCGTGCGCCCGGCAAAACGGGTGGGCGACCGGCACTCCAAGATCCCGCTTGCCTACAATCACGGCTCTCCTCCCACCTCGCGTATCGACGCCACTGTGGACAGGGGCCCGCCGCTCATCCGGCAACCGCTGATGCCCAAGAACCAGCAGCAGCCGGATCCCGGTAGTGGCCGCTCTTCGGTGAACTCGGCACCGGTGACGACTGCCGCTGGGCGTCCACTTTCCCAGACACCCCCGGGGCCTGTGTTATGCCCGCAGGCCAGAGGCGGCAGTGGCAGCCCGGGGTCTCTGCCGCCACGTGCCCATTCTCCAGACTTCCTGCAGCGGTGCGTGGGCACAACAGCAGCAGGGATGGTGCCGTCCCGGCGTCAGCCGTCGCCCGTGCCGCGGCGGTCCCTACAGGAGGCACCGCAGCAGGTTCCGTATTTATCATCGTCGCCGTTGTCACAGCAACAGCAGCACCAGCTGCAGCAGCAACAACAACAGCACCAGCTGCAGCAGCAACAACAGCAGCAGCAGCAACAACAGCACCAGCAGCAGCAACAACAGCACCAGCTGCAGCAGCAGCAACACCAACAGCTCCAGCAGCAACAACATCAGCAACAACAGCAGCAACATCAGCAGAAACACCAGCAGCATCATAATCAGCAACAGCAACAACATCAGCAGAAACATCAGCAGCAACAAAATCCACAGCAGCAGCAGCACCGGCAGCAGCAACAAATGCCCCAGCAGCAGCAGCAGCAGCAGCAGCAGCAGCAACCAAACCCCCATCAGCACCAGCAGCAACAACAGCAGCAACAAATGCCCCAGCAGCAGCAGCAGCAGCAACCAAACCCCCATCAGCACCAGCAGCAACAACAGCAGCAACAACAGCAGCAACAAAACGCACAGCTGCAGCAGCAGGAGAAGCAGCATCAGCACCGTCAGCAGCAACAAAACAAACCGCAACGGCAAAACCCGCAGCAGCAACAACCGCAGCAGCAGCAAGCATCGTCCCATCATCATAGCTACCGGCAGTCGAGGTCTCCCGCCCATTTTCACGGGGAGACACCGCACAGTGCCAACTTTGTGCCATCGTGGCCATGCCACCACATGCAGCGGGCGAAAGAGCACTGTTGCTGCTCACAGCGAGACGGCGGCAGCGGTGGCATCGCCGGTGCCTGCGGTGCGGTAATGTTGGCGCGGCTGCGATGGGCGCCGGTCACCCTGGACACGTCGGGTGGCCCGGGTCGCCACCCCCCCTCCTTGTTGGCGCGGCAGTATGGCCTACAGCAGGACCCGCCCGGAGGGGTGGGCTGCCTGCATTCCGTCCCGGGACTCTCGGGGGACGCCTACTGCTTGCTCATGGAGCAGGACCGGCAATTAAAGCTGCTGCAGGCACAGGTGAATGGGCGAGGGTGGTGGGGTCTGTGTGTGGCGTCGTTGTTGTTAGCAGCGTCACTGTCGACATACTTTCTCTCTTCTGGGCTCTGACGCCTCGGTTCTTATTTCTTCACTTAGAGATTGAGACGTCTGTGTCTATTTCGCAGCCCTCCTTACCCTGGTTGGCTTCTATCCTAATGTTCACGACCAGATCCATTCTGGAGTCAGGTCAGACATATATGCCAGCGATGATGATTCGATTTTGCACGATATTTAACTTTCACCACTGTTAAATGGGATGAAGTCGTAAGGGCAGTGGTTATTGCACTGAACTGTGAACCCAGCAAGCCTGAGTTCAATTGCCAGCCACAGCTAACATTAGTGGCGAGTGATAGCCGAAACGGTCCCGGTCCCCCAAATGTCACGAACCCACACTTACCAGTGCAGTGAAGTGCGGTCAAACAACTCGCTTGTGAGCGACATGGTGAGGAGAGGTTTGCCCGGCGGTGGATTGATAAAAATAGGCCTTAGTTTTATAATTGTGAAATACAAGAAGATATTCGACTCGTGATTTTTTTCCCTATTTGTTGTTTTCTCGGATCAGATCCAGAAGCTGCTGGCCGCACAAAACTGCAACGGTGGATCGAAGCGGGACGAGGTTCACGTTCCGGCATGGAGCTCTCCAAGTTCACCGGGCCCAGCTCCGTCCGAGAGTAAGAGGGCAGCGGGAACGCAGAAGCAGGCGGTCAGCATCGCCTGCGAGACAGGTAAAGCCAGCGCCGTGTTTTTCACACAGCTCATATGACCGGCAGCGGTCGATCACACATACCGCTTTATGTTCATGGTACGGGCGCGTCTCGCTTCATGAGTGAGATACGTTCTGCGAAAATTGCCCGTGAAGTGAAAAGTTGGTTAAACGATTGTCGTTTTCCCATTGGCTCCCATGTTGAAAGCTGAGTAACGCTTCAGCCCAAACATTTTACACTCTTGAACAACTATTTTAACGTGAGAAATTCTAATAATTATTTTTCAAAGTAATTAAACATCAAATGTAACACTTACCACACATGAAGAACCACAGTGCTTACAGGTGCCTGTCATCAGGCCTGCTGTGTGAGAGATTTGAATGGTTATGTCATGATGCCAATAGCACAATCGATGTCAAATTGAGGAATACGCTAAAAAATTAAAGATGTAATACATTCTTACGCCCGTGTTATATAAATTGAATCGGGCACGTATAAGAATCAATTCTTTTTGGTTTTTGTTTTCCAAATCCTACCTTTAATCTACATCTCACCGCATGTGAAACACAGGAGGAAGCTTGATTTGGGGACCGGGCGGTGGGGAGGCGGCCGGGGAGACGCAAAGAGGAGACACGGGGACGAGCGGATCACCACCGAGCGGAGACGGCGCCACCGACGGCCACGACGGCGACGACGGTGGGGCCAGCGAAATCCGGCACGGGGTGACTCGCGACGACGGCGAGCTGGCGCTGTCCGGCGAAGACGAGGGCGCCGTGGCGCTGGCCGTCGCGGCCGTCATCGAGGCGGCGGCGGTGTGCGACGCGAGCGTGGCCTCGTCGCTGCACGCCGTCGACCTGCCCAGCTTCGTCGAGAGCCGAGGCAGCGCCGACGATTCCAGCCGAAGCTCCTCCCAGGACAGGTCGGCGGCTGTTTGTCTGCGTCGTGGCACGGAGGTGGTCGCATAGCCCCCCCTGGGGGGCGGGGGGTGGGTGGGGGATTTGTAAATGGCCGTCTCGGAGGTGGTAACACGCAAGTTTTTGGATTAAAATCCATGTTATTTTCATCTGTAAAGATTCTTTAATGTATTATTAGTACGTTTAATTGTCTTAGTCCACTCACCAACAATTGCTAAAACATTAGTCTGGCGTGGTGGCACATTCCTGGGATTCAGCACTTTGAAGGCAAAGGTTGGCGGATCACGTAGAGGTTTGCGAAACTCCCAAAAAGCAGCTGGGATGACACCTGGCCAGGAGATGGCAGTGCAGACGCCTTGTATTCTTGGATCTTTTTAGTTTAACACATCGGCTGTCATGCCCATTAATTGGATGTGTCGGGTGGTGGTGAATTTAACGACACATTTATATTTACGCGATCTGACCCAAAAAACCTCTTATTGATTCTTGTATCTTCTCTGGGCGCACTGCTTTGTGACGGAGCTAACCTAGTGATGGTGTACCCTTCCTACCCTTTGTATGTTGGGGTAGCTATGGTGTGCATGTCCTGTACCTGGTGTGTGGTGGGGTACAGCGGTAGTGTAGCGGTTAACGCGCTGTGCTACAAACCCGGTGACCCGAGTTGTTCGATACCTGCCAAACCGGTCCCTGGGCTTCCCCTAGATTGACTCGGCCTCAAATGAGTACCTGGTGCAGAATGTAAACATCATCATTATCACCACTGGGGTGGCAAAATCGGCTGGGCGTAGTTTTGGCCACCCTCCCCCTTCGTGTACTGTGCCAGCCTTCAAAGGTGCCCGCTAACAGCACTTGCCCCAATAGTCTATTATTACAGGCTATACAGGATATCTTTATCTTTTGTGTTTGGTGCGGTGTCTCGTTCACTGCGCTATGAACCCAGAGATTTGAGTTAAGTTTCCAGCCATGACTCATGTCAGTGGGCGAGTGTCATCTGATTCGGACCCGGGCACCCCCACCCACCCCATCCACCACCCTGCACTGACCAGTTTGGTGAAATATGACGAAACAATTTCTGTGTTAGGAGTGGATTCACAAAGGGATTTTATGCAACTCTGTGCACGTGTACATGCATCTCTCAGTATATGTCTATTTGTCTATATCTATAGGTATTTGCATTCATCCAATCTGACCAGGTTGTTATAGGCATCTGAGGGGCTGTGTTATATTGAGGGTAGTGCAGAAAAATCCCGTTGTGTTCCGTGCTTCGATACTTACACGTCGATGCCCCCACCTTCAACCAACAATGACCAGCGTGGTGAGATGTGGATCAAATAACTCGTCCCCTTCATCCAGCAGGCCTTTGTCCAGCAGCAGAATGACAAAGGGGCTTGTCTGTACGCTCTTCCTACAGCTCACCGATGGGTCCGACCCACCACGCTGGCCAGGGCAGTCCGGCACTCGGGGAAAGCGCCAGCATCTATGTCCGCGCCGAGCGGGAAGGAGGAGGTGGTGGTGGTGGTGGCGCTGCAACCGGCACACCGGAGGTGGCGAGCGCAGCAGAGCAAGTGGACGGAGATAGCAACAGCCTCCTGATGCGGGACGAGAAGCAGTTCTACCACAACCTCTTGGTACGTGGCGGGTAAACTTAGAAAGCGTTGCTCTCATTCAACCAATCAAACTTTTTATTTGACCAGGTCAGGTCCACTGAGCTATGTAGCTCTTCTTTCAAACGCGACCTCACGTGGATATTTTATGCAGTCAAACACTCTAAAAACGCATGTTTTAAATGTGGAGGGAAAAACCGGAGGCCCCGGGGAAAAATCCACGCGACGACGGGGATAACATGCAAACTCCAAATATACAGGCATCAGAGTTTGGATCGAACCCACGAACTGTATACCCGGTGAGGTAGTTAACATCTCACCAGCAGAACACCCCATTACAGCAGAATGGGAAGGGTACCGGGGCATATAGCAACAGGAGTGAAAAGAGAAACCAGTCACGACCTCAACGGCTAACACCGACTGAGAAAAGTAAATTGCAACCGTGCACAAAAAAAGTCCAACCGTGCGCAACGAATAGCACAAGAAAGGTAAATAGTAAGTTAAATAAATAATACACAAAGAAAGTTGTTTTAGCTTTTATGCTCAGCTCTAACAATGATGCTGATGCTTAAAAAAACCATCTCCACTTTAATCCTGATCGTTTTTAGACTAATCAATTTGGATATATCGCAGAGCAGTGCTAGAGAACGGCCCACAGTTGTGCATATCACCTTTGAGGTTCCTTCCAGTAACCTCAGCTGATTTTTGTCCACTTCAGGATTACACGACAGTGCGCAGCACTTTACCACCTGCTCTGTCACTGAGAGTGATATTTGTCGAATGACAGCCAACCAAATATTAAACATTTTCAAGAGTTGAAATTGAACCGAATGAATTGCAGATTAAATTAAGAGCATTCACTCTGCACGCTGGAGGAAACCCATTTGATTCACAGGCAGCTGCCTGGATTTACCCCCAACATCTCAGTGCTCCGACATCTGGTCCACCTGGCCACTTGAGGGACAATGTCGGGCGGGTTGTGGTGCTGGCCAGTACCACCACCCCTTATGCGCTCTGCCAGTCTTAGTAGGTGTCTTCGAGGCGGAGAGCAGGGGGGGGCGGGGGATTATCCTCACACGCATGGATCTGTGCGCTTCGGCAGCACCAGGTAAATCGTCTGCTGACCAACACTGCCGAGACACCCGGTGAGGAGAGCGCCACGAGCGATCGCGAGGAAAGGCCGCCCGCTGTCCAGCCGTGCCCTGGGATGGCGACGGCAGCCGAGCCCACGCGAGGAGACGCTGTCCACGGGGTGGTAGGGACTGTGCACCTCTTTCGTTTTCTCCTATACCGGCGTATTTTTAAATCCTTTATATTAAGTTCACTTGCTTGCTTGCTTGCGCGCTTACGACCGTGCAAATCTTTCGGTCGTTTTTTAACCCGCTTCCCGTGATCCAATCGAGTTTGACATTTTGCACACAGACTCGTTGTGCGTGACAATTTATTTTCGTGAAATTTTTTTTCAAAAATTTTATACTTTTTAGAAATGTTTTTTTTATATTTAATTACCAATTGCTTAATGGTGGCAGGCAATCATCTGACCCATAGGTGGCAGTCATCTCAAGCCAGAGGACGAGAGGACTCTAGCCGCCCGTTTCAAAGACCAATGTGGGCTGGGTTGTGGCCAATTGAACACGCATATAAAGGATTTATAGTGAAAAACTTTGTTTTTACGGGTTAATTTTGTACTAAGTCGTGATGCCCGTGACCAAATTCCTGAAAAGTCTGTTCAAGCTTAATAAGGGTCAGAATTTTTGGTAGCCACCGCCACGCCCTCAATCGTCAGGCACCCCCTTGGGATGGGCGCGGGAATCTTGCCTGTCAGGATTGTTAAATGGACACAGACCAAGATTCAGGACGTGGTGGTGGCCGCCTCTGAATACTGGTCTCAACACGCGTACCAAAGCCCTGTTTCTTTTTTACCTGCACGTGTGTCCTGCAGATTCAGACGTCGAGACGCAAGAAAGCAGAGGATAACAGCGTGGTAACGGCGACACTGAAGCAGCTGAGGAAGATGGGCGTGCGTCTGGATGGGGAGGGCATGGAGTGTGTGGTCAGCGGCAGCAGCACCAAACACAGCGAACAGGCGGAGAGGGCCAGGTACAGCCCCACCGCCCTTCCCCGTCTGCTGCAGCGATGCAGCGTGTCCTCAAAACTATCGGATAAACTAAACTATTTGTTTTTAATTTTACCAGGTAAACCCCACTGAGCTTATGTAGCTCTTTTTTTTTAGAAGCGACCCACCCACAAATGATGGCACAGTGAAGTGGTTTATCACATGGAAATGTATAGCAGCCAAATATTCTAAACGCATGTTTTGTAAATGTCGAGGGAAAAACCAGAGGACCTGGAGAAAAATCTACGTGACCACAGGGAGAACAAGTAAACTCCATATTTTCAGGCGTCAGGGTCGGGAGCGAACCCACGAGCTCCTGTATACCAGGCGAGGTAGTTAACATCTTAATCTATCTCTTCTTTTAATAAAACCACGTTATTTACATTTAACTCATTTACTAGCTTGCAATGTTCTTTATAGTTGAGCTCTGGGCGTGCTGTTGGAGCTGGACCCTGGTTGCTTTGTCCTGGGATGCCCCACGGAGATGCTTTCCCTGCCCTGACCCCACCCCTATCCCCCTGGTATTTTTTTGTAAAGCATTTTGAGCTGCAATGGCATTGAGATGCTACAAACATTTAAATTGTTGCGGTTGCAATGTCGCCCCCCCCCACTGCAGCACGTTGGCGCGGATCCTCCCTACGGCCGCAGCGTTGGCCTTGCCTCACTTCAGCTACTCATCGCTCTCTTTCGCGATCGGTACCAGCGGCTTCTTTGGGGAACCCGGCATGTCGGTCGATCTGAGCATGGAGGCTAACGCCATCGCTCTCAAGTACCTGAGCGACGCACAGCTGGCGCAGCTCTCAAGAGGCGGCGGCAGTAGTGGCAACGGTTTCGGAAGTGGTCGAGCAGCCGAGGTGGCCCGGGCATCGCTTGCGGCCAGCCTCTCGGACAGCGACCGTAGCACCGCACCGGGTCTCCTGTCTCCAAGCAACATGTCCTTTGCCACACGGCGGTACATGCAGAAGTACGGGCTCATTGATGGAGGCATCAGCGATGACGACGACGACGACGATGATGATGACGATGATGATGACTGTGATCGCAACCAAGTTGGCGCTGCTCGCTGCAAGGATTTGGCCGGTGCTCGCGTTCCAGCGGAAAATGGAGACACCGTTTCTGACATTATCGCTAAATCGCTACCCTCCACCGCTGGCAGCTCTTCCCAAACACCTGGCTCGGACTTTGCCGCCTGCATGGAGCACGGGTCAGGAGGCGCGAGGCTCTGCGAACGCCTGTCTGCCCGCCGTAACTCGGAGCCCAGCCTGGTGGCCGTGGCAGAGACCGCGGCAGCAGCAGGATCCCGTCGCTCGACGGGCGAAGGTCGGGCCTTCACCGACGCGGCCGGGCTTCGAGACAACAGCACCGTGCAGGTGCTGAAGGGGTTAACGCAGCCGCAGAGGAAGCTGCTGAGCACAGGACACGCCGTGTTTACGAGGCATCCGCTCCGCGTTTTGCCGGAGCGGAAAAAAGTGTTGGGTGGTGGTGGTGGTGGTGTTGGTGGTGTCGGTGATGGTGCTGGTGGTACAGGTCGGGGGGACTCGCCAGAGAAAATCCGAGGGAACGATCGTGAGGAGTCGATGGGAAACATTCTGGACATTGAACGGTTGCGACAGCTTCCCAAGCTCTTCTGAGTTAAAAGCAGACAAGGTGGCGACCTCAGTTTTTTTTATGTTGGAATTTTGTTTGTGTCCGTCTGGGTGGCTCTGGTTATAGCTTGGTCGGGGGGTAAACTCGGACAATCATCTCTTCCAAGGTTGATGGAATTAATATCGCTTAGTTTTAAGTCAAAAATGGTTTTCCTGTGGATAAACTTGGCCCCGTCATAGGAATGTGTAATTCTCACTACTGGCTCAGGGCTGCCAATGAAGTGGAGTACCACCCGAATACTCGTTTAGGTGGGGTGACACTTATTAATTTGATTACATTTTGTTTGCCTTTTAAACATTTTAAGTTTTTTATATATATTTTAATGAGTTTGTCAATGTTATTTAATGCTCCTCTTGTGGAATGGGTGAAGTTTATCAGTTCCATAGAGCAGTGTGTTTTGTATTTAACCAGCTTAAAAAAGTTATGTTTGTTTTTATTCTGTATAATTATATTTTTGTACATTAGTAAATAACAGCAAGGTTGTCTCGCATTACAAATCAATAGTTCTTGTACATACGGTGCTCATGCTTTTTGCCATATGTATATATATTAATCTGTGCCTTCCATAGATTATATTTAAGTTGCCCATACCACTGCAGCTCAGCTCTTAATGAGGCCCAACTCTTGCATTCCACAAGGGCCAACAGTGACACGCTGTTTAATAATTTCACATCAAACCTTTATATACTCAGGAAATGGGTGTGTAAGCCGTTTGAATGGTTTTGCCAGTGTTGTTTTTTGCCATTAAAGTTTGGCGTGTGTGTTATGTATAATTTATTTTTGTTCTTTGGTTGTGTGAACAAACACCCTTCCAGCTTCAAGTGTTTACTCAACGCACAGTGAATTCCACCTTGGCAATTCTCGACATTGCTTTTGGAATTCACGTCTGTGAGCATTTCAGCAAAATTATATCCATAATCAAATGCGTGTATAAGTAATGTTGGATTTTTATTTAAACGCCATTGTTAGGGTGCAGCCTATGACCAAATCGTCTGAAAAAGCTAAGCAGAGTTGAGAGCCTGGATAGTGCTTGAATTGGGTGACCACCAGTGCACAAATATGTTGTCAGACGTCTGCGGGGACCTGGTACTTGGTGGGTAGTATACGGCAGTGCAGCAATTCTATGACTTTACTTACGAACAAGGTGGGTTCCAGAGGTCTTGTTCGTAAGTTGATTTGCTCATAAGTCCAGCTTTACACCTGTCGATTCCAAACATTGTACGGCAGGTACGTGAACAACGGGGAATGGTTTTAAAAGTTGTACAATCTATATATGTAAATGCCACGGGTTCTTCATGTTCTGCAGATGTAGATGCCACCACCGCCATCTATTGCGCGGCAAGTTTAACTTACGACTCTCGATCCGAAGAGGACCAGGTTTGCTCGTATCTCTGTAAGTCGGATGTTCCTAAGTAGAGGATTCCACGTACGTCTATGGTCCCTGCCTTTATCATTGCATACTCACAAGTGCGTGGGGGTGGGAGGGGGTTTAGATAGTTGATTAATTGTGACGTAGCTTTAACCCATAGCTCCTCACCCCTTTCAGAATGATCACCAAAGAAACATGGTAACATTGCCTTCTCTGCTCGTGTGTTGTGTGTCGTTTGCCTAAAGTCTGGAATAAATGTGTAAATGTGATGTCCATTCGGTTTGTTTCTTTTGATGTGGTATATTCTCTAATAAAGATTTGCTTTTACTGATATTTTGCATTTTTTTGCTTTTTGAAAGGTATCCGTTCAGCTCAATTGAGACAGAAGCCGCAGCGTTGGCAATTGTTGTTTGCTGCTTATGCACAGGTTATTTAACAAGCTATAGTTAAATGTTTTGACAAAGGAAAACAGTTTTCAACAATACAATAATTTATGGTGATCTTCTTGGTTCTTTCGGTAAAGTCACGTAGAAATGAAATAATAAAATACAATTATCACGTTTCGGCCACAACACAAGCAGCCGTCCTCAGGTCTGTCATCACCTGAGGACGGCTGCTTGTGTTGTGGCCGAAACGTCGTGATAATTTCATTGTTTTATTTTTATTATTTCCCTTCAACGTGACTTTACCGAAAGAACCAAAAAGATGAACCCCTGCAGTTACGAAAGCTTTAAATCGAAATTTAATTTATGATGACTAACAGACCAACGGAACGCATCACCTGGAATTAACCTCGTCAGATCAGAAGTTGATTTCCCGAGCAAATATATCGGAAGCTAAGCAGTCTTCCGAGGTAGTTAACGTCTCGCCACCGTGACGCCAAATATAGGGTGGCTCCTACGTCTAGAATCATAGGAGAAAAATAACGAATTCATATTTTGTTTCTGCAGTCCCAAGATGTATCTGAGTAAGTAAGAACATGTCCAGATAATTCTACTCAGGAAATTAGAGTCAAAGGGAGGTCGCTATTGAATGTAACAGACTGCATCCAGACCGCGAACCAATAACACAGAATTGTGTTAGTTTTTCCTTTTATTCCAGGCTTGTGGGACACCCTGTGTAGACTGCGTTCTACAAAACAGATGTCACTGTGTTGCTTATGCACACTACGTTATGCAATGTCTCCGTTCTTGCTTATCCAGACTACGCAATATAATACGTATCTCGACATTGCTTATCTGTATTGCATTATATAATATATATCGCCCTGCTTATGAAGGTTACGTTATACAATTGACATCGTAGTTGTACCTATCCAGACTACGTTATACAATCGGTCTATTCTCACACTGCTTATCTAAACTACATTATATAGCCAGTTTGGCCTTGTATTGCTTATCTAGACTACGTTAAATAGACCATGTCCTTTTACTGCTTATCTAGACTACGTTATATAGACCATGTCCTTCGACTGCTTATCTAGACTACGTTATATAGACCATGTCCTTGTACTGCTTATCTAGACTACGTTATATAGACCATGTCCTTGTACTGCTTATCTAGACTACGATATATAGACCATGTCCTTGCACTGCTTATCATGACTACGTTATATATACCATGTCCTTGCACTGCTTATCTAGACTACGTTATACAGCCAATCCGTCCTCGCGCTGCTTACCTAGACTACGTTATACAGACAGTCTCTCATCGCCATGCTTATCTAGCCTACGTTTTACAATGCACCTATCGCCGCGCGGTGCGTGCCGGGAGGAGCAGGGGGGATAAAGATGGCGACGCGCGGGCTGAGTCTGACTGAGGTGGGATAACGCGCGAACTTCGTAAACTTTGTACCGAATTATAAACAAGATTAACGCATCTAAACTACAACGTTTGCCTCATAAGAATGACTGGACGGAGTATGTGGTTTGCTCTGAGGCCGTGGCGCTGTTGTGTTGTATATTTTTAAAAATATATAATAATAAAATACAAGCGTGCGTTATGTTGCCGGAAGTGTTTGTAGAGTTTAAATTAAAAAATAAGTAGTTTCAATGTTTACGATTATTTTGTCTGGAGTTTAGTGCGAGGCGGGGGTTAATGAGTTTCGGTACAGTGCGTTGTGCGGTGTAATTCATTGTACGCGTCGTTCCAATGGTGGTGGACTTGCCCCTGCCATAGGAATGTAGAATTTCCACTACCCGCTCGGATACGCAGGGGTTAATAAGCGCCGTTCGTCGCTCATTATATTAACTCTAAAAAGGAAAAGTACAAAGCGTACTACGTTCATAAGTCGACGAACTGTTCATTCAATGAATACGAGCGTAAATATCCACAGCGATGCATTGTACACCGATTTAATTAACGCGGCCGTATAATTCGGGATGTCCACGTACAATGGGCATGCACGGTTAGTACAGCACGTAAAAGCATACGATGACAACGTACTCGACGGCGAGCGCATGTCAATTATAAATGCGTGTTCATTGCATAATGCATTCAGCAACAGCCGCTGACCACGATTCGCGTGGTGTGAGGCCTTCATCCAGCAGTGGATTGTTGCACATTGCACGTGATGCACAGTGCCTCAGACATTGTGATCGTGCATTCGATGTATGCGTTGTGGATATGTGGGTCATGGTGTGCGCAACGCGATCCGTGTTGATGTGCGGTGGACAGGAATGCGATCGGAATCTTTAGTTTTTGACTGCAGGAGAGAATCCGATAAGCTTTGAAGCGATTTTTCACAGATGTCCAGTAGGGGCGGGTCACGTTCAAATTGCAATAGTTCTGTATGCAGCAAGGACATTTTTGTGTTCAGTGTAAAATCACCCGTAATGGATGTAGCACATTTTTTTTTGTTAACCCTTTGTGGATATAATTAACGCTACAGCCATAATCACAGCCACACATTGTCTTTAGTTGACTAGTTGATAAACCCAGTGAAACAATAGCAATTCTCTCTGGATAACATTTAATAACACAAATTAGAGCTAAACGTACTTTCGGTAAAGTCACGTCGGTGGCAACCGCACAAACAAAAACATGAACAAGAATGCATCTTATAGTGACTATGTGCAAACAGAAAAGACAGCAAAATATTGCAGAAAAATCACCGTACACCAACGTTTCGACCGCAACACAAGCAATCGTCAGGTGGGACAACCACAGCCTTCAGTTTTGCTTGCTGTAGTTCTATTATTTTTCTACCTACGTGACTTTACCGAATGAACCAAAGAGTATGGATTCCTGCAGTCACGAAAGCTTCAAATCAAGACTAAACGTACTTATACAAACACATGCAGACATGCAAACACACTTACACGCACTTACACTCACAAGTGTGCACATACATGTATACACAAACACATGTACACGCATATAATGACGATAATAATTTGAAGCAGAATGATGAGAGAGGGACAACAGGAAGAGACACACAAGGGAAGAGATTGGTCGAGAGAGGCCAGTGGAAAGAGAGACAAAGAGATAAAAGTGGGTCGACCCAAGACAGACACTGGGAGAGAGGAGAGCTCCCCTCACCCGCCCCCCATTGACCTATGTGACCCCCCCGAGTGTCCTGACCCGAGCATTTGAGAAATGCCGATGTAGATCGTGTATATTATATAATAAGTATGCACACTGAGCTACTCGGTGTGTAAATTGTGACTCAATATGAAACTTCTAATTATGTGTTAGAATTAATAGACAGCCAAAACATGGTACAAATATCTTTGGGTCTTTGATTATAACTATACATCTGAAAGTCGATATATTTTTTTATTTGTTTTCCCAACAATTGCAGCCCAGAGGTTGATTGGTTTTTTTAACTTGTAGTCATAAAGGTCAGTCTAAAGTTCAGCATTTCTTTAAATATTGTTGCGAAATGCAATATTTTGTACATAATCAGTTTTTCACTTCTTGTTGATTGTGATGCAAAAAAAATCATTATGGATGGCATCCTACTGGTTGTTATATTTTTCCTTCAGGTCTCACAAAAGAGATGTTTGTATCTGCATACAGAATGGACAGGACTATGGTTTTTGTTTCATGAATGTTAGCAATTTGTATTGTGGTTATGATTATTTTTTGTAGTTTGGAGCAAAGCGTATATTTATAACATCCCTGCTTTGTACTCATTCTTAGAAATGCTGGAAAACATCGCATGCGATAAGCAATTGGGCAACGAGCCATACAACATGCATTGATAAAGATATAATTATTTTCAAGAACGTGGCTTGTGTTGAAGTTGTCAAAAAAGTGATAAGCATTGGGTTAGTTTTAAGAGCTGTTTTGAATTTGTTATAATGTCAGCAGTAAGTATTTTGGGTATGAGATAAGTATTTGTGTTTGGGGTTAGAGTTGGTATTATTCACCGATGCAGAGATGCGTTTCATTATTGGCTCTAACTGTTAAGCTGTATTTCCTATTACTCGGGCAATAGTAGCGAGCTACATCATCTTAAGCAGTCATGATCTAATCATTACTAGCTAAAGGCCCCTCGAAGCTATCACCGTCTCTAACGGTCTTGGGATACTGCAATCCATATCACGTTCACACACGAGTAAGTTTCGTCACTCCAACTCCTGCGATGGATGTATTCTCAGGTGTATTTGCTCCTTTGGCTGCCACTGTCGTTAGTCCCAACCATGAGCAATCATCCCTTCTGTGGTTGGAAGTACACTGATTGATAGGAAGAGGAACACTTGGGTTTTAGAAAAGCAAGTTAAAGACATTGGCTATTAAGAAAAAATTGACTTGGGCAGGAGAAGATACATAGTAGGTATGCAATTAATTGGTGTGTAAAGTAGATTTTTATGCTCATGACATCTGTAGAATGCCATGTGTGAAGGAATGATATGTTTCTGTTAGATTTGTTTACACTATGATATGTTCTATAAAATGTATACCCAAAATATTATATGGGGTGAAAGCGGGTGGCAGTGGTTAGTCTATTGTTTTATGAACCTGGTGAGCAAAATTTGAATACCTGGCTGTGGCTAATGCCACTAAAGAGTGACATCTTAACTGGTTCTTGGTCCTTCAACCTTCACTCCTGACCTTTCGTAAATTATGATAAAATAAACCTGGTGATCAATATAGCATAAAAAGGCCTTCATTCAACAGATGTCTTTAAATTACTGATTATATGAATTCACGCCATTGTATAATCTACAGATTTATACCATTATTGATTCTACAATGCACCACAAGGCTAATTAAAATAACACTGGAAATCGAATAATGTGCCACATTTATGACAACTCGTGAAAATGTTAGTGGCGTAAATTGTTGCACCCCTAACAGTGATAAAATCATACTTGAAATTATAAGCACATGCTTGGTAAGTTTGCTTGCTGAGATAATGAGATCCGCATCTATTTCAGTTCATGCTTTTATGGACTTGCATTTTCCTCGTAAAAAAAGTTACCACTGCCAAGTGTTTAGGCGACCGTAATGGCCAAGCCTCTTAATTGAGCAAAGATCCAGATTATCCGATTATGTCAATATGGGTTTGGCTGAATTAAGAATCCCCCTTGAGTCCTGTAAGCCGCAGTGAGAGCAGTTATGCTTAAAGCCCTTTCCATAGTGGGTGGCTGTTAAGTGAAGAGCATATTAGAACACATGGCACAGGATTTTTTTTATCCAAAGAAGATGGCTCAAGGAAAGCAAGCGTTTGTTTTTTTCAGATTTGTAGCACATTCTTAAATCTAATAACGAACATTTGTGGCACATAAACTAAGTGAGGGCACTGTGGCATGTCCTAGCGGTAATGCTGCTTTTTGTAGAGGTTCATGGATAAAAATCCAGCGGCAGCCCTGATCAATACTGTGGGTGTATTAACCATGAGTTAGCACCGTCTGCTTTACAATGGGTGTTTTAAGACGGCAACAGTATACCATTGTGTGCTGGAGTCATGGTTAAAATTTGCCTAATTTGAAAAATTACCCACAAATTAGTCATTTGGGCCTATACGTAGGAAGTGTCCCCTCTACTGCCAAACCTTAGAGCTTGGGTAATTGTTCCGCTTTGTGTGGTTTTGTGCCCGAACGCGCAAGATCGACCGAATGGCCCCCTCTCATTTGTAACTTTTGTGATGTTCTGAAACACATTTGGGATTTGCGCAATTCTGGCAGTACAATGGCTATCACGAAGACCCCACGTTTATGCTTTGCAGAACTTTTCTGTCTTGAGTTTATGGCAGAATTGGCTGACAGTTTCTGACAAATCGTGTACAGTGACTGCCAATGATTTGCACGTAGATTGGTTGGACGCCGCAAAGTATGCCGGTGAGTGAATAAGTGGATGAGTAAGTGTGTAGGTGAATGGGTGAGTAAGAGAGTAAGAGGGTGAGTGAGTGGGTGGGTCGGTGAGTTGGTAAGTGAGTGAGTGCTGCATAGATTGCTGGGAACCACAAAACATGGGGGGAAACGGGTGGGGGGCGCATATCTCAATGTCGTCTTGGTGCATGGGGCGATCAGGTCACTGTGTGCCACCCACCAGAGTTGACAACGACAACTGGCATTGGCAGCAACTGGCACCGCGCACGTATTAGCTCTATTAGGACGGTGCATTTTGGTGTAAACACTTGTAGACGGGCATGCACAGCTTGTATTTGATCCTCTGTTGGACTGGAGGCCAGTGCAAGGCTGAGCTGAGCAACACACACGCACAGCCTTGGATACCGAACAGGACAAGTGCTGTAACGGTAAACAGGATATGTCACAGGATGCACCGTGCAGCATGATTTCCATGCACGTGGTGTCCAAGGTTTTTTTTATAAATATCTTTCTGTAAGGAGAAGCCGTGGTCGTGTTTTTAT